CTATCTGACTCCAGAGCTTGTGTTGTTAACCACTCTGCCATAAGGCTTTGAGAGCTTATTTGGATCAGGCTGTTCTGAATTAACTCTGAAAGCAGTTTAGTTAAAAAAGAAAAACAAAATAAAAAAAGTATGCATATGTGTGTAGCCATGATGTATAATACTTTTACCATAATACTTAAAAGGAAGGGACCCAAACATTATCAACCAAGTACTTCCACCCAGGTAAGCTCTTTGACTCTTCCAAACAGCTCTGTGAGGTGGATATCACAGATGTGAAGTACCATATTTTGCCATGTGTAATGCGCACTTTTTTTAACCAAACTTGTGAGGGAAAAATAAGGATGTACATTATACATGGGTAGTACTAATTCCGTATCTATATAAATGTTTTTAATTATTTTATTTATGCTGATGAGTTAAAAGAGTAACTCTACAAATCAATAACAATATCCATATACAAATTAATACCCTGGAATACGATAATCGCTTTTGTTGAACTTACGACAAACTCGCAACAATGAAGGGTTCTTGGCCTTCTATGATGTGTAAATATCATAAATTTGTTACCGGTACATAAAATTTCTCATACCTTGTATGTGTTCTTGTGTTTTGTAATTATTGTTACATAACATTTCTTGTACCATAATATGTTAAAAAATAAATGATAAAATTCCTTTATAATACAAAAAACAAGTACCTAAGTGTAAACAAATAAAAATTTGAGTTAAAAAATTAAAACGAAAGATTTTTTTCCCGGAAAGTTTGGGCCAAAAACGCGGGTGCGCATTATACACGGGAGCATATTATACATGGCAAAATACCATAATAAGCCAAGGTCAGCAGTCTGGTGAGGGGTGGTGCACAGGCATGAATCCACGTTATCTGGGGGCCTGGTGTGTCTCCACAAATCCTGCTGCTCAAAATGACAGCCTGGGTCTGTCCCAGTTACTGGTATCTCACAGGTCCTAGAGTGCCTCACTTAACACCTGGCACAAAATATATGATTATTGGATGGGATCGAAGTAAACCCCAAATGAACCTAATGTTCATTAAGAGAAGGTTTGATAAATGAATGGACACCATATGTATGTGAGAAAGAATGAACTCTCTGTACTGACGCGGAATCTACTGTTAAATGAAAAGAGCAGTTTAGAGATGAGTATGGTTCCTTTTTCTGTAGAAAGAACAAGGTTTCCTTACCAATAGCCATCTCTGTCTCTTTATATATGCAAAAACAAAGTCCGTATCAAACAAGTTAAAATGGATAATAATGCTTATCTCTGAGGGGAGGATCATGAAGGATTTTAACATATTTTATAATAAGAAAAACCATGAAGATATTTCAACTTTGAAAAAAGCAAAAACGAAAGAAAGGCAAGTTGTTTCTGGTGGCAACAGATCCCACCTGAGTGGGGATGTGCCTCAGGCCCGGATTCTTCATGTCGACTCACTCAGCATGGGCTCTGGGGCCCAAAAGGTGAAGAGGTTTTGTTCAGAGTCTCTCTCTCTCTCTCTCTCTCTCTCTCTCTCTCTCTCTCTCTCTCCTCCTCTCCCACCTTTTACTATGAAATATTTTCACTCACAACAAACATGAACACACTGCAAGGAACCAGGACTCCTTGGAAAACGGGCCCAGAACATCTCTTTGTATTGAGACAAGTAAACAATTCACAGGAACTAATACAAAGGGGCGCCCACTTGCTAATGGCAGGTGATTTGAACGTTAAAAAACTGCAGTAAGTTAAACATTTATTATTCTGAAACTGGTAAATAAAGGGGGGAAAAAGCAAGTAATCTTGCCTTTCCTGTATGAGCTGTACCTCATGGTGAGCGAACAGTTGATGAAAGTGTTCTTTTTATAGAACAATCCCAGCTAACAAATACAGGAGGAAAAATAGAATTAGAAAAATTCCTGTTTTGCAACCTCCTAATGGCAGTGTGTATCTAAGCAATGACTATTAAATGGCTGCTGAAACCTTTAGGTAAAATACCGGAGAGAAATTTGTCATGGATGGATGAGGCTGACAACTCTGGGACCCACTCACTAGTCCTAACATTCTGAGTAGAGAAGCACCAGGCATTACCTGCCTCCTGATGGGATACAGTTGCATATACCCAGTACCATCTATGAAGTCTTCTTGCCACAAAATCAGGCCTCTATTTCCAACTACCATTTTAGAGGAAAGATGGGCTCAGAGAACCACAGTACCTGACACCTCTGGATTTCAACCAGCAAAATTCAGAATGTGGTAAATTCTCCAGATGAAAGAGACAGAAGAGGCATTTCAAATAAATGCAATTTGTAGATTTTGTTTGACTACTGCAAGTCTACTGTAAACATGACCAAACATTTATGAGACAATGGGGAACATTTGAACACTGACTGTGTATTTAAGAATGTTAGAAGGACTTATGGATAAATCCTTGATGTGATGATTTATGATGTGATGCTACAATTTTGCTTCAAAATAATGCAGATATACAGGGCTGGAGAGAGAAGTGGGTGGCGGTACAGATAAAACAGGCCTGACTAGTGTGGTTTGGTTGTGAAAGTTGGATGAGGGTGCACAGGGATTTACTGCACTATAATTTCTGCTTCTGTACATGTTTGGAGATTTCCATAATAACATGTTAGCAAAAAGCAATAAAAAGTATGGACACACCACTTAGCTCCTCCATCGTGATGGCGATAGCAGTGGTATGTATATGGGAATGTGTGAAGTGGATGTGTGTGTGTGTGTGTGTGTGTGTGTGTGTGTGTGTGTGTGTTCTCATGCTCTGTTTGGTCCTAATTCAAGTTGTAGCTCTGGAACAAGTGCGTTCATTTGAAAATGGCTTTTTCCAGGTGTGAAGAATGCCCCAACCTAACAGGCCCAGCTGGATTTCCAAGGGGTGTCCGCAGAACAGGCAGGTACAGACGCAAGGCCCCTTTTAGAGGACAGCTGGGGCCAGACCCACACGATTATCCCCACGGTCAAAGACAGAGTAAAACTGTCTAATGAAGACATCGCCCAGGATCCAGAGGGGCCCAGCTGGAGGCTGGATGTCAAGGCCTTGAAAGCCACTGGGGCAGAACTCCATTCCGTTCACAGAGTCCTGGAGTTGGAAAGAAGAATGTAAGTGACATACAGGGAAGAAGGTAGTAGAGCTGCCTAGAGATTATGCTGTGTGGTGGTGGCGGCCACACTGAATGGCCTCGCAAGGCTCCTTTACAGTTTTGGTTGGTTGGTTCTTCTCTTCCTCTTTCATACGCCTTTACCTATTTACTCAATAAAGTGTTTGCACAATTTCATATTTGTGGGCACGGGCTTCTAAGTTATACAATTTTGAGACTTGTTTATCTATTATACCCATCCCCCCGTCCCCCCCCCCCCCCCCATTTCACAACTGGGAAAACCAAAACCTTGTTGCATGGCTGGAAGAACAAAAGGTTTGACGTTAGATTTGGCTTAAATTCTGATTTCTTTAGTTTCTAGTGAAGCTCAATTTAATTGTTTTTTTAAGGGAGAGAGATTGCTCTATAAATGGCTAGCCACTGCTGTTTTCTTGTTGATGTTTTGGGAAGAATCATTTGAGTGGCTCCTTTTAGGTGTAAGACAAGTAGGCATACCTTGTTCTGTGAGAAGAATGTAACCTCCTCCAACTTAGTTTTTAGTTTGGCAAAGACTTGGGGTCTAACAGGCAGGTGTGGTCTTTTCAACACCGTTTGAAATTTGAGGTTGCTGATGAGGGAGTAGGAAAATTTGCAGAGGGCTTAAAGCGCTTTCTTGAGGAAAGGGGTAAAAACACAAAGTTATTACAGAATCCTTGACGGAGTCAAGTGGCTCTGATTGAAATCTGCTGGCAGAAAAGGGGAATGGCACCATGTTGGGTACAGGGAAGGGCGTAGGGGTGAGCAGAGAGTCACGTAGGGTGAAGGTGGGAGAGCGTGGGGTGCTGGAGTGGTGAAGGGTATAGACTGATGAACTCGGCTGTCGAAATGCCTAGCTTGTCCTCAGTATGGTATTCACTGAGGCAGCTCCAGATTTTCTCTGTTGGAGGAGTTTAGGGGACTTGATACAAAGCTGTATTTTAAAGTAAAAGATTTGTTTTCACTTTGATTATCTGTTTATATTTGGTTGCTTAGGAAAGGGGTTAATGGAGATCAAGCTGTGGGGAGGGGTGTAGGGAAGTCCCTAAACCCTCAGTGTATGTACCTTAATGCCTCCTTTCTGGTGCACTCACCCTAATGCTGTGGTTGACTCTTGGGCAAAGTTAGTGCACTAAAGTGTGTCACAAAAAACTGCAATACTGAAAACCTGGGCCCGCTGCGGTGTGAAGTGGTCATGGATTTCCAGAACACCTGGGAGTTCTCTTTCTACCTCACCTCCCATACTTAAAAACTAAATGCAACGAGGCATTTCCTTGTTTGAGGAGAATGTTAATTTGAACGTTGGAAGAGATATAACCTTATTCTGTACCTCCCACCACCCAGCAGCTCCTATCTAGAACTATTACCTCTCTGAGTCTCAATATCCTCATCTATAAAATGGGATAATAACATCCCCAGTCTGACTTGATGGTTGAGGGGATTAAATTTTGTCAGTTGAAAAGTCCTACATGACAATATCAGAAAACCTCATTAAATGACTTGTCCCAGGCTTGCTCCTGCTTTGTGGCAGAACAGGAAATTAGAGAGCCGGCCCAGAGGTCTTTCCTCCATAGGCAGCTGCGGTCCCTCCCAGGGGAACTGCCAGAGCAGGACAAGATGGGGGGTGAGTGGGGGCGGGGGTGGGGGGTAAATACAACCTGAGAGCAGGCGTCTGTTTAAAAAGGGGAAGTGGCAGGTGGGTGGGAAAGGCCCTGTGATGTGCAGAATAAGGAAACAGTTCTTACCAGCAGGGTGTAGGCAGTTGGTTGGAGGGTGTAGGGTACTCCATTGATGGTGAAGGTGACATCTGGCATAACATTGAGGTAGTCACACTCCACAACATACTAAAACACAACATAGAGGATCCATTTAGAGGCCTCTCATCACTCAAGAGTGGCCTGGTCCCTGTGCTCCCACCCGTCCTCACCCCAGGCAGGCACTCACTTCTCCATCCATGGGCTCTGCCCCAATGGCCTTCTGCAGCTGCTTGATCTCGTCTGGGGGGCCTGTAATGAGGGAGGTCCCTGTGTCCACAATGGCCTGGCAGCCCTCTGAGCAGAACATCACAGCGCCTCCCACCTGGATTCTGAGGGCAAAGGAAGCGTGCTCAGTCCCCCACCCGTGCTCCTGATATCCTGCTTCCCCTGACGCTTCCCCAGGCGCCCCGCAGCTCTCAGCCCTTGCTGGGCTCGCTCATAGCTGAAGCATATTAATGATTTCCATTTTGGTGTCTATCACCACATGAGTATTTCTCAATTTTTTTTTGACTGAGATTCATAGCAGGAAATACATTTTTCTTCCTGACCCAGTATATTTACATACATACACTCAAATAAAATTTCATGAAACAGTACTTAACCTTAATATGTCTATCAGAGTAGGTCATGATCCCTTAAAATGATGCCATGACCCATAAATGGGTAAATCCCTAAAGTCTGAAAAACCCTCAGTAGATGTTCAACCAATGAGGCTTTTTGCTTTTGTATCCCTGGGGCCTAGCACATGCCTGGCACCTGGCAGGAACTTATTCCTGGCTGAACTGACATTCGAGTTACATTTCTTTGAATTCCTGCGTTGTCTATTACAGTGCTAGGAATGTGTCAGGCAGCTAGTCCCACTTCCCAATTGCTCCACGCCCAAGTGTGTGAGTGTGTGTGTGTGTGTGTGTGTGTGTGTGTGTGTGTGTGTGTGTGTGAAGGCTCAATCAATGCTGCCACCTCCATGACACCCTTGAGGAGTTCTTCAGATAGAAGCTGTCTTGCGCTGTCTGCGGGGCCACTTTGGTGGTACGTCTCATGGAGCACTAAGCACCTTCCTCTTTACGTGGCAGTCATTTGTACGTATGTCTCATCTTCTGTACATGGTTTGTGAAGGCAAAATCTGAGTCCAGTTCACTTTTGCACCCACATGTCACTCAGCCCTTGTCTCTGTGTTACTTCATGTTGCGTGAATGAAAAGTTGGCTGTGTTTGTATTTGCTGTCTCTTGGATTGAAGGCGCACCGCACACAAGAAGGAAGCTGAGAGTTGGTACCATGCGCCTGCCACCCTGCTGTCCTATCCTGCACTCTGCCCAGTACCTCCAGACTCTAGCCTCACGCAGCCGGCTTCTGGCATCCTTTTTCAGTGATCAGTCCTTTCATTCGGGTCAATTCAGTCAAAAGAGTTTGAGTTGTGCCTATTATGAGTTCTTCCCTCAATACTATACTTTGTGGAAGAGACTCACGTGTCCAGTGCAATCTGCCAGTAGCCTTGTTTGGTGACCGGGACCCAGTTCAGGCTCCCAGAGAAATGAGAGTGGTCATAGCCTCCGAAAACCAGCTCGCTCTCTGTGCCACCTTCGGGGTCACTACAGGGAGAGAAAGGCGGATTGTCAAGGAAGGGCCCCTGGAAAACCCTAGGGACGAGCTTCAGCCAGGACTCTGCCTCTGGGTCTGGTCTCTCACACCAAGTACCTAGACAGGTAGAAATAACAGCCTGGACTTTGACACCTGGGCTTTTAACTACTGTGAATTGATTAGTCTGGGCCTTTTGGGCAAAAGGATGAAAACAGCTCTGCTCAATGATTTGTGAATGTCCCCCTTGCTTCTTACATAAAAAGGGTAAGGAGGTGAGAAATGGGGACAATGGGTCTGGTCTCACAGAACTCATGCAGAAACAAGGCCAGGACCATCCCTTGGTGGCGTGCATGCATTGTGTGACTCGAGGCACCCCCCAAAGGACACATTTTTTTCCAAGTACCTTCCCCACTATTGCTGTGGTGGTGTCTGGAGTTTGTCTTCACATTATTCACTCTCTTGTGTTAAGGCATAGAAGCTAAATGTGAACCCAGCACAACTTATCAGAGCTTGAATATTTATTAATTTTCATTGGTGTTGATTTCTCAGATTATGTTCTGGCACCTAATGGAATTTGGGGGAAACAGGACATAAAACAGATTCATTTTCAGAAGGAAAAGTATAAAAAAAAATACAAAACTTGGGCCGGCCGAGTCGCACGTTGGTTAAGAGTTGGCTTAGGATGCCAGCTGTGAGCAGCGGGCCCCAGTCAGATCCCATGTGAGGGCCAGTGACACTGTGCCCTCTACAGCTAAGATGGTGAACAAAAGCTCAACCTGGAGCTGGGCTGCCCTGAGTCACCAGCGAAGGCGTAGGCTGCCGTGAGCCGTTGTGAGTGGCCATCCAATGGCTGGTGAGCGACTGCCTCACCCAGGAAGAACACAATGACACCAACAGTGACGTCCTCCACAACTAGACTGAAGAACAAAAAGGACAGCAACTTGTTTGTTCCTCTTCCCCAGTTCCCCAATGCTGTTCCCCTCCCCTAACTCCCCAATAAAATCTAAAAAAACCAAAAACCAAACAACAAAACTTGGGGCATTGCAAGGCAGGGTAGTAAAGGAGAAGGGAATTGGATATCTGTGGGACTCTTAGGAAAGTGATTTTACAGAGGTGGGGGGAAGAACTAACATTTGTTGGTGGCCTTTATGTAAGGCACTGTTCTAAGAATTTCACCTGCCTAACCTTATTTAATTCTCACATCACCCTAGTGTCCATCTGAGGAAACTGAGGCTCAGGGAGATGAAGTAACGTAAGTGGTAGGATTTAAATCCAGGTCAGTCTGACTGCAAAGCCTTTACTGTTTTTCATCACAGCTCTCGTCTTCCCAGGCTGCAAGGGAGCAGAAGGCTCTGAAAGGGTGAAGTGGAGGAGTCCAGACAACCTGCACCCTTACTCACGGTTCTGCCCGGGGCCTGTCCCAACTGCAGCCATGCAGGAGAGGAGGAAGTTTGATAGAGGAAAGTCAAGACTTTCCACATAGACTAGGAAAACAGGGGAATGGGCTTTTGCTAAAACAGGAGAAGCTCGGGTTAGGCCTCCCTGGGAAGGAGTCAGAAAGGTAAGAAATCTTCCCTGTATAGGGAGAGGGTGAGATGACCCTCCCAGGACTCCAGGCAAGAATGCCCAGAGGCAGGTGAGCTTCATGAACTTTTTCAACTACAATGAGCAAGTAAAAAAAAAAAAAAAAGTATAAATTGGTAAAATACACATAAAATTTACCATCTCAATCATTTTTAAGTGCATAGTTCAGTAGTGTTAAGTATATTCACATTGTTGTGCAACCAGACTCTAGAACCTTTTCACCCTGTAAAACTAAAATTCTATAACCATTCAATAATTCCCCATTTTCCCCTCCCCACAACCCCTGGCAACCACCATTCCACTTTCTATTTCTATGACTATGACCATTCTAGATACTGCATATAAATGAAGTCCTACAGTAGTTGTCCTTTTGTGACTGGCTTATTTCAGTTAGCATAATGTCCTCAAGATTCATTCATGTTGTAGCATATGTTAGAATTTCCTTCCTTTTTAAGGCTGAATATATTTTGTTCCATGTATATACCACATTTTATTTATCCATCCATTAACATGCAATTATTTTATTGTCAGCTTACTTTTAAATTTTTTTCCTGCCTCCCACCACTAGAATCAAGCTTCTTGAGAGCAAGGACTGTCTTTCTTGATTCATTGTGTTCCCAGTTCCTACCATCATGTTCAGCACATAATAGGGGCTTGAGAAGTATTTATTCACTGCATAAATGACTATCCAATTTAAGAGATTCCTTAAATTAATTCAGTGTGGTACAGTTTACAAAGCACTCTTCACAATGACTTTATGAGGCAAATCCCAATTCCTCAATATTCAGAGAGGTTAAGCGTGTGCCTCAAATTACACAGCTGGCCAAGCAAGAGATGCAGCTCACGTGCTGTGCTTTTTCAGCTGCACCATGTTGTCTCCCTGTCGTCATAATTGACCTTAACCTGGCAGCCTTGACAGGTCTCACCTGCTCATGTAGACAGAAAACATGGGTACATCCACCAGGTTCTGGGCCATCATGTTGTCAAATACAGGGGTGACTCCTCCAACAGCCAAGGAAGGGTATCCCAGGCCCAGAATCCCATCAAACTCGGCACTCACAAAGGTCTGGCCAGGCTCCGTGACACTTTCTCCAAATTGCTGGCTGACCACAGTCAGTCCTTCCACCTGAAGGGAGAAAGCCCAAAGGAAATTTGCACAGGAGACCTCGTCAAGGGTCTCAGATTCCTGGACACTCCCCCTGTCCTGAAGCTAATTTTTTTCCTACTCAACTTTTCTTGACTAAATAGGCACGAAGATTTTTTCCATATTTCCATTTGATTTTTTAATATGAACCTTTTTTATTCAAGTATAATACAATAAGTGTACAGTTCAATGAGTGTTCAAAAGCTGTACACGCCCATGTGAGCAAGCCCCCAAACCAAAAAACAAAACATTGCAACCCCTCAGCAGCCGTTTCATATACCCTGCCAGTTATTGCAATTTCCTCAAAAGTAATTGGTCTGCTGGCTTCTAACAGCATATATTGGCTTTGCCTATTTTTGAATTTTATGTAAATGGAATCATACAGTATGAATTCTGTTGTATCTGCCTTCTGTCACTCAACATTATGTTTATTGCATGCTGTTCTAATTTGTTCATTGTCATTACATTTCACAGTATGACTGTATCATCATTATTTATCCATATTACCTTGATGGATATGTGGGCTGTTTCCTGGACTTGACTATTGCTAATTTTGGGTTGTCGGAAAAGTCATGACATATTTTTTCTGTTTTTCGTTGCAAAAATGTGTCATGACTTTTCCGACAGCCCACTAGTACAGTTTGTATGTGTCTCCGGGTGAACACATGTGGGTATTTCTGTAAGATGTATGCCTAGGAGTAAAATTGCTAGCTCATAGGGTATGCAAGCATCTCACTTCAGTAAATACTGACAAAGAGTTTTCCTAAGGGATTTGTACTAATTGACATTTCAAATACCACTGTTTTGAGAACTCTAGTTGCCAGTTGCTTCATATCCTCAGCAACCTGGGTCTTACCTTGTATCCCATTTCAGTCTTCTAGTGTATATGGATTGGGTACATTGTGGTTTTAATTTGTATTCCTAATGACTAATGAAATTGGACATTTGGATATCTTCTCTTGTGATGTGGGTTGTCTGCATTTTTCTTATTGATTGGTAGGAGTTCTTTATCTATTCTGAAATCGAGTCCTTTGTTGGATTATGTATTACAAACATTTCCAGGCTGTGATTGGTGCTTTTATACTCCTAATGGTGTTTTTATTTGTTTGTTTGTTTGTTTTTTGATGAACAGAAGATAGGACTTTCGATATAGTCAAATTTATCTATTTTTTTCCCCTTTTTAATTAGTGTTGTTTTGTAACTTGTTTCAGAAATTTTTGCCTACATTAAGGTCATGAAGATATTTTCCTGTTTTCTAAAAGTTNGTCATGTGGAACTAAATGGAACTGAAAGGTAAATTCACATCCTGCTCCCAGTTCTGTGTCATATTCATATTCACTGAAACCAATGGCTCTGAACTCTTTTATTTTTATTTTTTTGGCGTTCCACCTTTTCCTCCCTGTATTCAACAATACAAATAGTTTTATTTCATTTCTTCGGTAGGCAGCTTTTCATTTCCTGTTTTTGGTTCAATATCTTTTTTCTTTCCAATATCTTGGGAGAAATAATATATGAGCTTAGTGCTTTATTTTAGAATTTGTAACTTTAAAAAATAATATGTAGCAAGCTATGAAATTTAACTACAGTTAATTTTTGTCCTGAAGAAATTTCCTTTAACAACCCATAAACAATAGCTATGCTTTAACTAGCAGCTATTTATATATAAGTCTCTAATGGATGAATATAAAATAATTACTTCGTGGATATGTAACGATAAATTAACATTACTTACTACAAAAGTGAGTTATGTCGTAACGAAAATCTGGTAGATTAAAATTAGGAACTCTGAGCTACCATTCAGGCAGACAATATGAATTGTAACGCAAAATTTCAAATTTAGCCATACACGAATACTAATAGAAGATTTAAAAAAATTATCAAAACAACACGTGGAAAAGCAGCTCCTTGTTTGGAAGCACTAGTTATTGTAGATGTTTTAAATCAGCAAGGTCTTTATCAAACTCATTCTACTTCAATTTATGAAGCAAGTAAATGTCAGCACTGTTAGAAAAAGTCTTCTATCTTACTATCCATTTATCATAAGAAACAAATTTTGTGAGGTAAGATATTTTATTTTTGTCTGTCAGAAAATTATGATCATAAGAATATATAACTCACCTACCTTTGGAGTTAGTAGTTAAATAAAAATGTGGAAAAAATTAAAATAATAATGAAGTCTAAGATGTGGGTCCTTGAGATGTCCTTGAACAATAAACAACTTGAATGACCATCCTGGGCTACTCTAAACACTTATGTGGCCTTTACAGTTAATAAAGTGCTCCCATGTACGTAGAAACAACCTGTATAGGAAATGGAGGACAGGCGAAGGGATTGTGAGACCTGCATTTCGATGCTGGTCAACGCTATTTATTTGCTGTGACCTTGGGCAATTGACTCACCACTCCCTAGGAATTCTTGGTTACCTCATCTACAAATGGGGGTAAGTACACCCAATCCTTCCAACTGCTACCTGGCGGCCGCAGGAGATGTCCCGGTTCTGAGTAGTAAATGAAATTATGAGATGTGCATGAGGTTTTCATTTGGCACTTGATAAAATGTGCTTTCTTAAAAAATGGTATTATTTTTTCCAAATCAAATGAAGTATATGTACAGGGCTGGTACAGGGCAGTAATTCTGATGAATTTGGATGAGTTCCTATTAAGTCACCTGTGGACAGTTGCGAGTTTCACATGATCACTGGTGACCTTCTGTGGGAGCCCAAAAGGCTGACATTCTGATTTTCTGACATTCAGAAGGCAGTTGTTTGAGGCTTGCAAAGAAGCCACTGTGCAAACTGAAAACATAAAGGTGATTTTTAAAGCAACCCCCAACCAATAAATGGCTCTGTTATAAACCTCAAGAAGACACAGCGTTACTATTTTGAGAAATGAAATTTTGCAGAACAACCAGAAAAACATTTAAAATCCAAGAAATGGTGAGAATATTTGCTTCAGAGGAAACTAGGAGGAAGTTTGCTTGAACATCGTCCTCCCCTGTTTCAGATGGCCCTGCTTGATTACAGCAGCACATCTGTGGCCAGCCTGGAAAAAAGGAGTGTGCCCGACCTTTCATCAGTTCAGCAAGCATTTCCTGTGGGCCTGCTATGCCCCAGGCATTGGCCTCTGTGCTTAGAAGATGAATTAGATCGAACATGGTCTCAGTCCACACAGGGTTCTTGAAGTCTAGTTTGTTAACTGTCTTTCTTGCACTCCGTCTTCCCAAGGTTGTGTCCCTCCGTCCTTCCTCCAATCTAGGTGACAGCTTTCCTTCATTTTTAGGTGCCCAGTGCTCCTTCTCTTATTAATGATTTCAGATGTTCATTCAGGGGGAAATGACTGCATGTTTCAACTGCTGTGCCTTGTCTCATAGCACCCTGGTATCTCATAGTCTCAGCCATGTTCATAGGGGTTGTTCCCATTGTCCAGGACTAGCACAAGTGCCACTTCCTACAGGCAGCCTTCCCTCATCACCAAAGTTAGAAATGACTTGTCCTTCCTCTCTGATCCAATAGCCCTTTGTTTGTACCTTATTTTAGTACTTACCGTACACCTGCTTTTTGTTAAAACTGTTGGAGTCAATGGATATCTTCCCTTACACACTGGAGTGGGAGGATGAGGGGCTAGCACTCTCTGAGCCCAGGGCCCATGTCCAGATCTTCTCTACCCCTGCAACCTGCCTTACCCTGATCGGTACATCACACACACACACACACACACACACACACACACACACACACACAAATAAATAAAATAAAATAAAATTGGCTGGATTGGATTTTTTTTTTTAAATTTTAGCTGCCCAGAATTAGCTTGATCAAACTTCTCTGTTGGTGGCACTCTGCCAGCATGGGTCTGTGCATGGCTTTCATGTTCTATTTATGTAATATTTTTGGGTCGCCTTTATTCTCCATAACCATTCCCCTTCACCCAGCCTCTCCACACCTGCCACAGACACACTCTCTTGTTTTATTAAAGTGCAACCTCCTAATCTATTTAAACACCCATAAGATTATTTACACATTTGTGTGGCACTGAATGATACTTGGCATTGTTTTGGATTGAAATTGCCTTTGGCGAAGGGAAATGAAGGACCTCACTGGAATTTCAGGCACCAGCAGCCAGTGAGGAAGTGCTTTGGGCAGGGTGGGTGACCCCTGGAATCATGGTGGCTGGGAGGCAGCGGTCTGGCACAGGCTTTTGCTTTGTCTCTAGGCTCCCTTGACCTCAGGGCTTTGCTGCCCCCACACCTGAGCTCTGTCCCTTCTGGCAGAGCTGTCTACACAGCTGCCACATTGCCAGCCAGGAGGCCCCAGAGAGACTTTCTCTGACAAGAGAGTATCTGTCCTCCTTGACATATGTTGCTATATGAGAACACCTATTTCTGCTTCTCTTGTGTCTTTTGGCTTGAACCCCCTGGTAGACCACACCCTTGGTGAAGTTCCCCTTTTCTTCCTTCTGATAAAGAAACACCATGAGTCCTTAGACCAGCGATTCTCAAAAATTTTGGTCTCAGGGCCCCTTTACACTCTTAAAAATTATTAAGAAACCCAAAGAGCTATTGCTTATGTGGTCTGACAATTAAATTCGCCAACTTGTTGCAAGGATGTTGCTAACATTTTTAGTTTTACTTTTTATTGTGAAATACACATTTTTTTAGAATTAGTTTCAGCTGTACAACACAGTGCAATAGTTATACTTTTTACCCCTCGAGGTGACAATCCCCCTCCCCCAATCCACCGCCCCACTTCCCCCTGCAATATCATACATCTCTATTACAATTCCCTTGATTCCACTCCCACACTATACTCCACGTCCCATGACTATATAATATATATATATTCACTTATAGTTGACATACAATNCCCTTTTCTCCACTTCCTCGCTAGCACTTGTTGTTTGTTGTCTTTTTTATAGCAGCCATTCTAACAGGTGAGAGGTGATAGCTCATTGTGGTTTTGAGTTGCATTTCCCTAATAATTAGTA